AAATATATCGATACTCATATTATAGACGATTTAAAAAGACTAAACATTTAATAAACATGTTGGACGATTGGTCGGAGATCCCCTTTGATGTGCTTACCTTCATTTGTTCCTGTATTCAAGGATGCAGAAATGCTCATATGTTTAATTGTGTGTGGCTGATGTATGGAAAGTGCATATGCATTATCTTGTATGTAACGTGCAGACAGATTTAGTGACAGATTATGATTAAATGCAAAATATTTTTAGATCATGACATGACAAATGACTTAAAGGGTTTGATTCATGCTTGTTATTAGGGGCCGTTGTCCTCTTCTTGTTTAATTCAGATTATTCCGATGATTTTGGAAGATTTGGAAGGTAGTTTATTTTTTTAAATTATTTTTAAACTTTCCTAACTTAGGAGTTCATGAATACATGCACTGTTCACTATGGCTTTGTTTTATTTTTATTATTGTTGCTATAATAATAATAATAATAATTATTATTATTATTATTATTATTATTATTGCTATTATTTATCATCATAAGTAATCATCATCAATCATCATCCATCCTCGTCATCAATCACTCCTTTCATCATCATCATATCATCAATCATCAATCAATCATTCATCATCATCAATCATCAATCATCATCATCATCATTATTCATCATCATCATCATCATCATCATCATCATCATCATCATCAATCATCATCATCAATCAATCAATCATCATCAATCATCATCAATCAAATCAATCATCATCATCATCATCATCATCATCATCATCATCATCATCATCATCATCATCATCATCATCATCATCATCATCATCATCATCATCATCATCATCATCATCATCATCATCATCAATCATCAGTGTCATCACCATTGTCACAAATATCAATATTATTGTTGCTATAAATTGATTAATTATTATTATTATTTATTTATTTATTTTTTATTATTTTTTATAATAAAGATGGCTTTGCAAGTGGCCAAAGAGTCAGGGACTAGACCTACCTGAATTCACTTTTTTAAAAATTAATGTAATCAACATTCTTTTAATCTTGATGATATCATTAGTAGGTGTTAATAATGATAATATCATTGCAGTAAAATTTTAGGATTCGGGTAGACTTAATAGTAGACTCCTTGGCGACTAAGTACTGGTGGAGCCATTTGTGTATTGAAAAGATTTCTAAAAGACAAAGCCATAGTGGTAGTGCCTGTTCCCAGCATCAGCGAATGAAGCTATGCAAGATATGCAAGAAAAGTCGAAATTTTATTCTTGAAGTTCGGAAAATATTGCATAACCTTTATTTATTTCCTGAATCAAAGATCTGTCTTTCTTATTTGGTGATATTATAGAAACCTGTTTTTTGTATCCTGAGAAAAAAGTCTTAAAAGGCTCAATCATAAAGAAGCAGGTACTGAATATTTTTCTCTTACATAAACTTATGCTTAAAAATTACAATTTGTTTGATTGTGGAAACTGATTGAATCAACAAATTTTATGCTATTTCTTTGACAATATTTTCACATTCAGTTTCTTTAAAATATTGAATTATTATCTAGTTTAGTATGTATACATTACAAGTGGAAAATTGTGTAAAACAGTCCTTGATTGTGGTTTATTAGTAATGACTAACATTTTGTAGAACTCTTGGAAATGTTATAAACATTGAGGATTTGTCTTAGAGAAGTATATAGCGTGAATACTGATAAAATGGGGAATCTATACTACTGCACTCGTACCTAGATAACTACTGTATTTAACTTACCAAGCACTTTCCCTCTCTCTCTTTCTCCCCTTTGCTCTCCTTCTTTCCCTCTCTTCCCCCTCTCTCTCTCTCTCCCCCCTCTCTCCCCCTCTCCCTCTCCCCCTCTCCCCTCTCCCTCTCCCCTCTCTCCCCCTCTCTCTCTCTCCCCCTCTCCCCCTCTCCCCTCTCTCTCTTTTCCTCTTTTGTTCTTTCCCTCTCCTTCTCTCCCCTTCTCTCCCTCTCTCCCATGCTCCCTTTCTCCCTTGCTCCCTATCTCCCTGCTCCCTATCTCCTTGTTCCCTCTCTCCTTGTTCCCTCTCTTCCTTGTTCCCCTCTCATCCCTTACTCCCTCTCTCCCTTACTCCCTCTCTCCCTTACACCCTCTCTCCATTACACCCTCTCTCCCTTTCTTCTTTTCTCCTTTTCTCTCTTTCTGTTTTTCTCTCTCCCTTTATCTCCCTTTCTCTCCGTCTCTTTCACTCTCTCTCTTTCTCTTTCTCTTTCTCTTTGAAAAGTGAGAAAGAAAAGTGAGACATCACTACAGGAAAAAGACAGCGGGATTATCATAATCAAATACAGCGTATAATCTCTAGTTTTTGTTCTCTCTCTCTCTCTCTCTCTCTCTCTCTCTCTCTCTCTCTCTCCCTCTCTTCTCTCTCTCTCGTTCTCCTCTCTGCTCATCTTCTTCTCTCTGCTCTCTCTCTCTCTGCTCTTTCTCTCTCTTCTCTCTCCTCCATCGTCTC